GAAGTGTTCAAGGCCAGGTTGGGTGGGGTTTTGAGCAACCTGGTCCAGTGGAAGGTGTATCTGCCCATGGCAGAGTAGTTGGAACTAAATGATCTTTAAGGTCCCTTCCAACCCAAACCATTCTATGATTCTATGATTCTATATAAATATGGTCCTTTTGGTATCTATTTGTCAAAGATGAATCTGACATAACCTTCCCTTACTAAATCCATGACAGTTCTTACCATATGTTGATGGTCAGAAAGTATAAGAATAAAGGTAAGATTAAAAATAAAAAATCAAACTGAATAGGCACGGCTGAAAAAAAATTGTAAGACGTGGTAAAATATTCCTTAGCTACATAATTAAGATGATAGGAAATGAGCTGTTCAGCAATAAGGATGAAGATGAGATCAAAGATAATTTACACAAAAATTAAGAAACCCATTCCTTACTTTCCCCTATAGCCTGTTATGCTTAAGACTAAATGGCTAATGGAGATAAAAATTGTTGATTACAACGTGGAAGGAAAACTCAGTTGTCTTAAGGAGAGGGAACATAATCATAATTCTGAAGAATTTATAGAACAATTTCATGCAAACAGTTTTTTGAATGAAATTGGCACTAGTGCCATGCCTATGGGACACAGAAAAGACTTACAGTATTGTATTTATTATTACACATATTTATATTTCAGGACCAAAAGGGAACAGAAGGGAAAGTCACTTAGGCAACTACAGGTCTCATTATGTGACCCTGATAAAGAAATATTTTGAAAGAAATAAACAATTGAAGATAGAGATGAATGTAGAAAATGTATGGCATGCAGAAAAGAAATGGTGTGTAAATAAAATTTTTTATATATGCTTCATGGCAGCACAGACGAAATACCCCAGGGATTAAGAAAAGATAGTAGTGTTTTAATTTAACTTGCCTGAGATGTAGATTTGGGGTTTAGACATGGTGTTCGATCTCAGATTTATTTAATAACTCATTAAATACTGAGCTGTCTAAAAAGGTTGTCAGCACCATGAAAACTCAAACATCTGTGTGTGCAATAGAAGTAGAAAATAAGCAGCTTCTGGGTTTGAATGTTACTTGCAATCAAAACTAGAAAGGAAGATATATATTTAGCTAAAGCAGCTGGAATTTGGCTGACGATCTCTTTGGAAAACTTCATATTCTAGAGACAGTCTACTCCCTTAACAGTAATAATCTTAAATCCTCTGAAAATGGCTATAAAGAATTTACCGCCATCCCTCTCTATGTGGCCCTAAAAAAAAAAACAGTTTATGGTACAGATCTACCAAAAGATGGGATTCCTTTTATTTCTTGCAGTTGCTGTAGATGGCCGCTGGGGTTGCTGGTCTAAATGGAGTTTATGCGATGCTTCCTTCAAAACAAGAAGGACCCGGGAGTGTAATAACCCCTCCCCGATGAACGGTGGAAAGCCCTGTGAAGGTGAATGGGAAGAAGAGGAGGACTGTTATGTCTCTGTGTTCACGGACAGGTAAGAAGGTGGTAGACCAAAAGATCTCCATAGTCATGGGGAGAGTTAAGGAGCTCTCCAGAGTGGCTTTGCGACTACCAAGGAGAAATAGCAGACAACTCTCCTGTCTGAACTTCTGTCATGGGGGCTGAGAGAAGGAAATGTCTGAAAATCTTCTCAACTTGCTTCAAGTTTGAGTTTATTCATTGTTTATTCCTAGAAAATTGCTGATGAATTACATACTAAAGTATGCCTGTAGATCTCTTACGCTGCTTTGCATGGCTTCTTGTCCAAAGCCACGGAGAACTCATCTGCTTCCATTCATGGGAGTTCGCACTTTCCATTTTTTTAATATCACATCCTCTTCTCTTAGAGGTTTAGGTCTGAACTCAGTCCCAGAGAGAATTCCACTTAAACTACCAAGCTTTTCACATTCCTACCCTGAATATGTCTGATGTACCAGTTTTGCATGGCTTCAACTTAAAATCATAACCCCAAACTCAAAATGGCTCAGTTTCTTGCATCTTCAAGAGCTAGGCTTTGTACAAGTTCAGTTTTTCTACTGGAACCAAAAGCCGAAGCAGGATTTTCATCATCCATACTGTAATGACTACAGAGGAAATTCTGGAGTGGATAGGAGAGGATTAAAAGCAATGGACTCCACAGTTCTTTGTTACTCATCTCAGTGAGACACCACAATCCATAAAGCTCCATGTTCACAGAGAACAGCCTCCTTTAACCATTGCCCAAGGGCAACAGGCGGGTTTTGACTATGCTATCTTAAACCCAACCTAATCATGTGGACATCTTAGATACTTCCTCCATCTGCTGTTCTTTGCCTCTTTTTCTTACTCTATATAAACATTTCATGAGTTATATTGATACAAATTTTAGCCCTGTATCTATCACTTTTTTAGTTCTCTCACAATCTCCCTCTATCACACCTGCAACTTTTGACGTCCACAATCTTTTATTTAACAGAATAAAGTTTTTTCACCATTGGGGTGGGGGGGGAGGGGAGGAGGGGCAGGACACACTGGCAGCATTCCTCTCCAAAGCTCCTGACATTCTGCTGTTGTTATTTGGTGACACCAATGCTTAAGATACATTCTTACCAGCAAATTTTTACTTTTCAGGGGTGCTCCTTGCATAAATGATGATGAAGCCAGGAGAGAAGAGGAAGTCTTGATTGGTGAACCTAAGTCTGGATGCTCCAGGCCAGACCCACCAGAAAATGGCTTTATCAGGGTGAGCACGAAAAATAAGTGATACAGAAGGAAAGTGTAGTAGTTGCAGAGATGGGAAATTTTACAGCTTCTTTGCTACATGTGCCTGATACCCAAGCTAGCTACTGTACTAATGAGCATGCTCCTGTGTATGTGGCATGCTGTGGGACTCTAGTCCACCAAAGTCCACCAGCAACTGAAGCAAAGGCAAGGTAAAATCCATTTCAAACAGCGGTCCTTGAATCCTTGTTTTGTAACCGTGACATGAGTTAGTGCAGCTGGACAAACATATCATTATATAGGTGAGTGGATGACTCATATTTCAGAGTAGGAAAAGCAAGCATTCACTACGTCATACCATCAGGCTTTTATCATTGTTTCTTTTGACAACGTCCAGTCTCATTAACATAGATTTTTGGGTTTTTTTTTTTTGTTGCTTTTTTGTAGAATGAAAAGAACCAGTATGCTGTGGGGGAAGAAGCCGAAATTGCCTGTGTTAGTGGTCATGTTCTCAGTGGCTATCAATTCCTTCGGTGTCTGCCAGATCAAACCTGGACGCAGCAATCTGTTGAATGTCAACGTAAGAAAGAGAAAATTAATTTAGCATAGCAACAAAACAGAAGTGGAAGAAAAAGACACAAAATAGATTTTAATGCAGGTTTTAACAAAAGAACCTGTAACGATATCTGAAAACAGCATTTTAAGAAGGTATTTCATGTAATCACACTAGAGATAGAAGAAACCTACTGAGTCACTACATCATTCCTCTTTCAATTCAGAAGTGTTACTATTATGTGCTTTGTAAGGATATTGTAATGTTCAATACTTTAGAAAACCCTCAGATGGATGCTGTGAGGTCCTTCTCTTGTCTGATTTTAAATATCTTTAACAGAAGGACTCATCTTTTGTTTCCAGACTTACATAGATATCTTTAAGTTGATGACAGTTATGCTGAAGAAAGCACTCTTAGAGGAATTTGTCTTTTTGTATTAAATGGATTATGTGTCTCTAACCACCTCCACCCCCCCCCCAGAATACCTTGAAAATCCCCACAATAAATCAATGTCTTGAAGTATTTATAGTCCAATTAAGGATTAAGGATCAGAACTGACCTGGGTTTGCTAACAGGAGAGATTCCAGTAGTTTTCTAGAAGTCAGTGCGATTTCATTGACTTAGCGTTCATTTTATCAAAAAAACCTTACCTGAATATACTTATGAGCTTTCTATTGCCATTCATTTTAATTGTTTTGTTAATAGCTTCATTTACAAAAGAAAAATTAATATATGCTGTTAATGCCATTGTTATTATTTTTAAACTGTAAATAAAATTAAATTACTTACACTAGCATACATTAGAAACACATTGTAATTATTTAGTTATTGATTGAAAAATATTTTTAAAGACTATGACAATGCACTGAAAATTTCTAGACTTAATTATGTTAAATATTTATCAGTTTTGAATGTCAGTCAAATGCTCAGTGTTATTGAGTGTCTTTATGGCTCTTCAGCTGAAGCATTATGACTTGTTGTAAATATTCACACACCATAAAACCAACAAGAATTATACTTTTTTCTTGTTTATTACAGCCTCTGTATGCCTCAGGCCACCAACATCTGACAGTGTCACAATTTCCCCATTTAAGCAACAGTACAAGATTGGTGAAACCATGAAGCTGAGCTGCCAGGCTGGGTTTATAGTCACTGGTCAGACACAGTACACCTGTGGGGAAGACCTGTCCTGGATACCTCCTATTTTGAGATCTATTACATGTGAAAAAGGTTAGTATGCCTGCAGACACTTTACTGTTTCTATACTGCTGATATTAACAGCACAGTTTATTTTAGCTAGCTAGAACTAGGAGGCAGATGACTGGTTTTAAGACATATAACAACTGTTCAGTAATTTTGGTTTTACTTTGTGCCTACCACAGTGCCATATAATTTCAGCCCCAGATTTCTGCATTAAGTTCAGAATTTTTGGGTGCAACGTACTGTGCACTTCAATTATGAAATTGAGATACTAAAACTGTTTTCTTAAAAACAAAACAAAACAAACCCCAGCTGCATTAACAAGGCTTTATGAAAGCAAAGTAGGAGAATGCATTCTATTGAAACTTCAGCTTCTCTTCTTGTACAGGATTTTCCAGTGATTTTTGTAAAAAATTATGTGTACTTGTGGAATCCCAACCACAGCAGCTTTTGAAGAGGGAAATGTGGGATAAACAGATATAAACACATTTTAGGTTTTATGGCAGGAGTCTAAGACATTTCTGTTCACTTTGTTAGTAGTTACAATAACCCTCACTCTTTTGTTTCAGATGTGCAAACTAAGATTAGAGGTGTTTGCAATCCAGGACAAAAGCAGGTTGGATCTCAGTGTGTTTGTATGTCTCCAGAAGAAGATTGTGGGTAAGTTAAGTACTTTAATTAGAAAAAGAAAAGTCGAAGTTTCTCTGCTGGTAGACCAAGAGTCCATTGTGACACAAAACAGGAAGAGTAAAAGACAACAGCAATTCAGGGCTACTCTCTGTTCAGATATGAGCCAGCTATGCTTCTGTATTCAAATTACAGTCCCATTTATAACCTATGAAATAGGTGAACACCATGGCACATCCTACTAATCTACATTACCATCTGCTACTGGAGATCCCAACTCTTCCTTTTCTTCTCTTTATTCTTCCAATTTCTATACTTTCACTGTCATCACCTTGCTATAATAGGTCATGCTCCTTGTGTTTGAGATTCACCTTTTTCAGATTAACATGCTGCAAAATACACTGTATGTTTCAGTCTCCAGAGCATATAAAAATACATAAGACTTGGGTTTACTGTCTCTTTACACAATATGACCTGCACAGACCATTGAGCCTTCAAGTGAATAGAGCGGTATCCTAGAGGATTTTTAGTAAATGACTGGCCAGGGTGGAGGTGTAGTGTGGGGCTGGAGATGGGAAAGATGAGCACAGATTGAATATAAGCTGGGCAGTTGTAGGGCTGAAATCAATACACATTCCACCACAGGGCTCCTGTGTGACCACAGGCAAGTCCCTTGGGATGGGATTAATCTCATTCATGTCAATACCCAAATAACCAGGTATCTTCTCTCTCAAGGGTCCTTGAGGGACTATGTTCAGAGGGTGATAGACATTGTCAGAAATACATAGGTCAAATCCTCTGAAAACTAGAGAGGTTTTGTTGACTAAAGTATAAGCTTAACTCAGGAACATAAACAAGGTGAACTCTATTGCTCTCTCTCTTTGGGAAATGACTAAGCTCCACAAAATGATGCTACTTGGAAATGCCTGCACTTGCTGAGAATGAATCCACTGAGGAACCAAGAGCAATACAGAAAGAAACTACAAGCAGCATGGCTGGGTTTGCCTGCCATCGGTCCCAAAATAACCGTGCCTCAGAAGCAGACTTGCACACACAGCTGCAGGGCTGCATTAACTCAGACAAGCCACCCCAGGGCTTGTGGAAATTTCACCTCCTGTTTTCTTGTGCAGGCACATGTCCTTCACCTCCCATCTGTTGGAGAGGACCAAAGCTTCCTCGTCTCACAGCACTATGCTGTATCAGGTCCAGGTCCTGCAGTAGCTGGGACAGCCTTAGGTCTTTAGACAGATGTCCAACTTGGCCATGGCTTTGCTGTGTTTCATCTGATGCTGGTGGAGCATTTAGAAGCATGGACTTGTTCCATAGCCTGCTAAATTAATTTTCTTTTTTTTCCTTGAGGCAGCCAGTACTCAGAAGACATCTGTGTGCTACATGCTGTTTCTGAACAGAATGTGACCAAGCCCAGCTGTCAGTATTCAGCTGAAATGTGCCTTGGACAGCAGTCATTTCATTTCTTGCATGCTGGCCCTTGCCATGGCAATTCCAACCTCAACTGGGCTATTGAAAGGGCAAAACTCTCTACAAATAGCTTGAAGAAAGTGCCCTGTGGCTACGACACCTGTTATGACTGGGAGGAGTGTCCAGGTATGACTTCTGAATGGTGGGATTTATCCAGCCCTTTGGATCTAAAAATAAAACGTGCTGACTCCTTCACTGCTCCAAGAATGGGATTTACAGGCATTGTGGTCCATCTGAGCAATTTACAGTGAGAGGAGTGTGGAAGTGTGGTCAGTCCCGTGGTCCTACTACCATGTGATACACTTAGATATGTGCCTTCTCCCTTAGGCACAAGTGGTGTAGTGTTGCCACTTCCCATTAGTGGCACAAAAGGAACTTGGAGATTAAGGGGACTTTTTCAGGAGAATTAACATTTGAATCTTTAATCACAAAAACATAGTCGGCAATGTTATCGCCCATTCCCTGTGAGGCTACTATAACCACTAGTTTGTACTTCAGGAGTTAATTTGGGCCATACCCTCTATAGCATATAATTAAATTATGAAATTAAATCATGATACTACTTAAAAAGCAAGACTGGGACCATCAGGCTTAATGGAATTTTAATGGTAAAATTTGCAAATACCCGTATGTGAAAACTGTGTTTACTAAGAGTTTTAATGAACTAGCTAAGCTGGTGAAATCCCTAAGAGGATTATTTTATAAACATTGTTGTGCAATTTACTGTGTAACTTGGTGATAAGAGCAGTGGGTTTTCCTGTAAATGCGTGAGGTACTGGCTGGCTCCGTGCACATCACGTGCTTGCCAGGAAAAGGCTGAGTGGCAGCCATGCTCATTCCTTCACTTGCTTCCAGAGACAAATATGATCTTTATCACACCATGCCTACTTACGATAAATAAAGCAACAGCAGTGTGCAGCAATCCTAAAAGCCTGTTTTGAAGATGCAAGCTTTCTGCAGCACAGGGTTTGAAGTAGGTGGCTGTAAAATTACTGCATGAGATGTTGTTCCTTGTGGGGCCGAAACAGAGGGCATGACCAGGTGTGCCCCTTGAGGGACATGCTGTGGTGGAGCCTCTAGGCACCTTGGGCTCCTGGGAAGGTGGTTATAATTTAGAAAAAATATTGGGCTTATTTATTCCAGAGCCTAGATCTGCTCCTACTGCGGAAGTGGCTTAAAGCTGGATCCTGTGCCAGCACCTCAGTGTTTTTCTCTCAAAAGCCTACAGAGGAGCCCTGTTTGGTGAGGAAAAATGAGAGAGAGAGGAGAAAAATACATTAAATAAAATACGTTCTCATTGTGGTGCTCAAGAGGTTTGAATTGGACTTTCCTCCTTACCATCTCCACAAAAGTCCTCTTTCTCATGGGTATGCACAAACATTTAAGAAATGGAAGTTTTGGGTTTCCTGAGAACGAGTAGTTGGCGTCAACACAGAGGCAGAAGATACTGCAGTACCATGTGAAAGCAGCTAAACAGAGGAAAACACACATTTTTCATGTTTTAAGAAAGGGAAGGCAGAAACTTTGTTACCTGCCCAGGGAATTTCTGGGGAAGAATACAAAGAGTCAGAACCTGATTAGATCAGAAATGGGTAATGAAATAACCGGCAGGACTGAGCTTTACCACAGGCCAGCAACAGGTAGCTTAGCATTCATAAAGGGAGCTTTAATGAAATAGAAGCTGACACAATATGGACCTTAAGATTCCATTTCACAGCAATATTGTGTGCAAGGATAATTGGGAGCAGAAAGTCAACTTAATATCTTTTTGTTTAGAAGAAGGGTCAGGGAAAGCCAATGGCTAAAAATAGTTAGATACTTCCTTTCTGCTTCTGTATGGGCCACTGCTGCAAAAACTGATATATACTAATGTGTATATATTTTTTCTCTATTCCTAATACCGTACCATCTAGCGTATGCACTATAGGCTTTTTGTAACTAATATATCACAAACCTCCGATAGTGTTTGTCCCTGTTAGACTTTGAAATGTTGTCAAACTACAAAATATGTTTTTAGTCATGACATTTGCAGCTAAAATTCCAACATGTTAATTCCCAGAGACACAGACCCAGTGCTCCTGCCTGATGCCTTACCAGTGCCCCAAAGAAGAGAACCGCCTTCACTGCATCCAAATGGAGTCAACAGGGAGGAGAAGGACAGTCAGTCATTGCACACTGGCAGCCATGAAGTGTGGTGGCATCAAACTGGAGGTGCTGGAGCAGGGGAGCTGCCTGGCGTAACCCATCAGCTCTCCTGGCAGCCACCACGATCACCTCACCGTGCACAGGCTGAGCCATTCTGGCTAAAACTTGGCTGGTTATGAAAGGACAGGTAGATCAAAATCAAAGTGTGAAAAAAGAAATAGAGCTCATTTAACAGGTTTTTGGGAAAAGGGTGGCATTGGGCTTTTTTGAAAATGACCTGGGGTGCGGGGTATAGGGACTGCTCTCACTGCTGGTAACTCTGTGGATGTGCAGAGGGAGGGAGGGGAGCGGATAGAAAGGGAGAAAGAGGAGCATTGCCTCTGGTCTTCCCTGGTGCTTGATGAGACTTTTCCTTTCCTCAGCCATTTGTTGATTTGTCCCCGTGCTTGTGACTGCTGTGCACCCTGGTTGTCTTGCTGGCTGAGTACCTTCTGTATCATCCAGGCAGGCAGACCAGGCTCTTCAGCATCGTTGCACGTTCCCTCTGACACCTAACGGGGTCATGAAGGAGGCTACCTGTACAGGCACTCATGGTAAAAATTCAGCGAGCAATACAAAATACTGAAAACCACAGATATGCAATGATTGAGTGAAGTCTTCAAGACTATGCAATTTTTCATCAGAGTAACTGAAGGGAGGAAGTGTTTGCTTTCTGGCTTGGTTTGCTGGTTTCGAGCCTTAGACACTGTTGAGGAATTTTTATGATACCCCTTGAGGTGAATTAAACACATGCTTGTGCTTAAATATAAAAGAAAAATTTAATGAACAATGCATTGGGCAGAGTCCTACTGCAATACGCAGTTCTACATGCACTCTGCAAAGATGTGTCACAAGCACATTCCTTATATACACTTGCACCAGCACCAGTCCTGAGAGCAGTTGCACGGGGCACCTCAGCCCAGCCGTGAGTCCATCCCCCACTCCAGCTCTGCTGCCCAAAGGTGGCCCCTGAGCATTCGCATTCCAGGATGGCTACAAGACAATGCTGAAGCTGTTTCTTGTCTCATCACCAAGGGAAACTTCACTCCTTTGCAAGGAGTTTCTTCGTCTGGCATTTCTGCTTCCAGCCAGTTTAACCTCTTCTTGTAGTTGGGCCTTCTTGCCCTCTGTGCCAGACCATTCCTCAGCCACAAATCACCACTGTTGAGCAGTTACAACTGGAATTTCTCCTTCAACACTGTCGTGGTTTAACCAACCACGCAGCCGCTCACTCACTCCCCACCCCCCAGTGGGACGGGGAGAGAATCGGAAGGGTAAGAGTGAGAAAAACTCGTGAGTTGAGATAAAGACAGTTTAATAAAACAGAAAAGGGAGAATAATAATGATAATGATAAAATATACAAAATAAGTGATGCACAATGCAATTGCTCACCACCCGCGCTGACCGATAACCAGGTAGCGATCGGTACTTCCTGGATCACGCCTACCATTCATATACTGAGCATGACGTCACATGGTATGGAATACCCCATTAGCCAGCTGAGCTGGCTGTCCTGATTATGTTCCCTCCCATCTTGTGTACCTAGCTCAGTCAGTAGGCATGGGAGCTGTCCTTGGACTAGGAGGGTACTTAGCAACAACTGAAAACATCAGTGTGTTATCAACATTCTCCTCATACTAAATCCAAAACACAGCACTAGCAAGAAATTTAACCCTATCCCAGCCGAAACCAGGACAAACACTCAGAATTTTACAAAACTGAGGATTAGAAACCTTTCCATAAAGGGAAAGCTGAAAGTCACTTTTTTTCACCACCAGTCAGCAGAACAATGAAAATGAGAAAAAAAAGCATGAAAAGTGTCCATTGGTGAATAACCTGCCCTATGTATAAGCATCACACACCACCAGGGGCTGGGCAGAGTCACTTGGAAGCTGGGAGTGGGCTGGATGGGAAATGCTTATTTTCCCTCCAAGGAGGTATCAGACCCCTATATTTGGGATGTTACCAAGCTCCCTAAATCAGCAGCTAGTCTCAACTGGATGGAGTTCAAGGAAAAGAAGCAATTAATCTTGCTGCTAAATACAATAAAGCATTATGTTTTCTTGCTTAAAATGTGTAGTAAAAATGATTATAAAAAACTGAGATAGGTTTGCCTTTGTAGTTCTATAGCTTTTTCCTCCAACTGAAGATATATACTAATATGCTGGTGATGGTCTAGGAGAGGGTTGCAAATTTGATTGTCTCCAGATTGTTTTTTAGTGGCCTTATTTCTTCTTGCTGGTTGCATTCTGAGGGGAAATAATCACTCAGAATGGCTGCGTGTGCCTTCTGCACCCTCAACAAAAAACAAAGATTTCTTGCTCCTGATCCTCTAACCTTAATACTAGCTTTTCATTACAGGACTCTGATTCCAGTGTGACTGTCTAGCAATGTTTCTGACAGGAGGAATTTTTTTCTCTGACAATTCTCAGCATAATAAATTGCCAGGTGAAGTTATTTCCTGGTAAACAGAAGGCAGGCGAGAGGTCCCTGGCTGCCCCCATTTCTCCAGCACCTCTGGTCTCACAGTGGTTGTGTGCTGTGGAAGCAGTTGCATTACGACTTGCATTGTTCTCTCTTGCTGATGGAGATAACTGCCGTATTTTCTGTTTTACAGTTAAGCATTATGGTACAAAATGGAGACATCACCTGCCACTCAGTAATAAGGTGGTGATTCAGCCATAAACTGAATCCAGAGGAAATCTTCAGCTTGCTGAAATTAGTGGGAGTTTTGCTGTTTGCTTCAGTAGGGTCAGGACAAGGATTTCAAGTTTGCTGCTGTGCTCTGTCACAGGGGTCCCCAACCCTCACATCAAAGACTGCAGCTCTTTAATATTTCCTGCAACATCTATCTTTTTCTTGGATAAGCTCTCCTTTTCTACTGTGATAACTTATATTAGGTAATGATAGAGTTTTCTTGTTCACTGGTGGCAGGAAATGCTGTCTCTCCTTTGTCATTGTAAGCTCCAAGTAATGTTATCTGGCTTAATGGGTCATTGGCTTGGGTCATAAATTATAATTGGGGAAGATGAAGCAAACCTGAACCGAGTCTCTCAGGGTAACCAGGGTCATAGAGACCTTACTGATTCTCAAAGGACAGCTTTCTCGGTAATGCAGCTTCTCTACTCCACAGAAAAATCCCATCTGTTTGTTCTTAATGCCAGAGAGAAAGCATTATCCAAAATGAATATAATGGGCTTTCCACTGACGCAAAGTTCCATACAACATCCCAGCATATCTAATTTTTCACTAGCACAAGAGTTTGTGAAGTGTATGTAGAATACACTTACCGCAGCGAGACAGCTGAGGCACGATTCAATGGCTGGACAATTAGCAGCTGCTGTTGTCTTCTGTATAAATAGTTATTGCAATTGTAATGTAGAATGCAAAATTTGACCAAACATAGAACAGAACTGAATATATATATATAGTGTCTGTTATAATGTTTATCCTTATGCAACCTTAGAAAGGGGTAATCCAGAGTTTGCTTCAAGGGTTTGAAGATAAGACAGATCTATAGGTTTAAATACCAACTGCCAAACTTTTGCCAATGAGCCACTGCTTCGTTATAGCAATTACTGTTTCCCATTACAGCTATGAAAGAAAACATCTTGTATTAAATGTTTCAGTCCTGATGTCTTTATTTCAGGTGCTATGTGAGCAGTAAACATCTCTTAATTTAAGAATTTCGTGCAAAATATGACTGTGACTATCAAATGCAAAGTTGCTAGGTGCAGGGAGCACAGTAGAAGATGAATACCAGAGCTTTTGCTAGTGCCACTTTCCCAGTAAGTGATAAACCAGAGGTGATATCGGCCAGTTTTTTCCCACTGGGTTCCTGCAGAGCTCACTGCTGTCCAACACACTCCTGGGCTTGCACTCCAGGGAGTGCAGGGATGCATCTCCAGCAGCAGCATAATTTGTGGCGTTCAAATTCATGATAGCTCCAGCTCAATGTATTCCGTTTATGTATTTAGAAGAAGAGGTCCATCACATTTCTCCTCACCCAGAAATCCCTGAGCAGTAGGCTTTGGTTAGTTGTTTCAGAAAAGGGAGGCTTCAGCTATATCTGTAACAGAACTGACTCAACTCTGCTGGTGGAGTGTTATGGGATAAAGATGCTACAAATAACATTGTTTATAAATTAAAACTTAACTAGATTTAATAAACCCTTTACTCAGAGGTGTCAGTTTTACTGTAAGGGGTCTTTGAACTGGCTCCCAAGGCTCTGGGTGTTCGTGTGTGGGTATGTGTGAAGATTTCTGACATGGAGGGGTTTGGGTAAGCTGATCTTCCTTCCTTGGTTACTGGGAGTGAGATGCCCCTAAAAGTGTATGTCTGCATACAAGCTAATCATCTTTGGCTGTTCTTTTAGTCAGTGGAGGAGAAAAACTGTCCCTTAGAGGACAGGATTTCTGTCTTCCTAGGTAGACATCTAAAAACAGGCTGGGTGAGTCATGCCCGAAAGGTGCCTGTCTTCCTCTGTCGACTGTGAAGGGAGCTGGGGGGTGATTAGGCCAAAGACAAATTTTCATGCTATAGATGTCTAAAATTGCATTAAATTAATCCTACCTCTTCTATTTTGAAAAATGAAAAATATATATAGACACACATAAAAAAAAAACCACATATATACTCCTAACAGTTAATTTCCAGCACTGGATTATATGTCTTCCAGATCAGCACTATTTATATTGCCGGTTTTCAGGAATAACTGGTTCCATCCACAAAGGACCAAAGCTGTTGTGGGGCTTGGCACTGTGATAACTCAAGGTTAGAGACTGGCTCCCAAAATGGTGCTGAGCACCAAATGAGGTGCCTGTGCTTCCTTCCCTTTCACGCTCTGTGAACCAGAAACTGTCGAGCGTTATTCATGTGTGGGTGGAAGAGACGAGCGTGTCTGTATGTGACACAGCCAGCCACCAGCAAACAGGCAATGGGATGATTTTAGTACATTGTGCCCTGCTCATTACCCAGTGGGGTTTGGGGCCTAGTTGTTCCAGGACCTGCAATAACCAAACCCAGAGCAGAAGGGACTTGATTTTAACATGTTGCT